TTTTTGTGATTCCATAGCTACCAAACCCCAATGCTGATCCCAAAATATGGGCTGAAGGAAGTATTGCTCCTTGGGGGCAAACAGGAGGTTACCAGTGTCACCTGCTGAGGCACAAAGGAAGGGCAGAGAAAATAGGTTACACTTAAAGTAGGAGCCCAAGCAGAAAGTGAATTAAACAAGTGCCAAGTGGTTTATTTAGGGTAAGCAGGGAGTAAAAGAGAAGCCCTGTGAAAGGAGGGAGTGTCTCACGAGTGCCTTTTGTGGCTATTGGGGTGCAGTGTTAAAGCCATTGGAGCACAGAGGAAATAGGCTGCAGCACAGGAAGAAAAGGGGGCAGTGTCTGTAACTTTGTGGCCCGTGGTGGGTGAGGAGCCAACGCAGGGCGTTTGCTGGACACCCTGCCAGCAGCACTGGTGACAAGTGACTCTTGCATGCAGGAGGTGGAGGAGAAACTGGTGTGTGAGGCAGTCGTGGAGCCAGAGATAACAAAGAAAGTGATAATCAAGACAAAGGTCACCTGCAAGTTCATTTCTCCCACGGTGCAAATATCATCCAGAGCAATCACTTTCCGTGTGGAGAAGGTAAGTCTCTGGATTGCATCCCGGCATTTAACAGCACGGCTCAGTGAGAGAGCTCGTGGGGAGGGGGGATGTGCTTGTGTTAACAGCCCTCTTTACCCTTCCTGAGGCACTTTGTAAAGTAAGTGAGGATGTTTTTAGAGATGAGACTGGTTTTGAACTTCCTCAAAGCAGAGTTGCGGCTCCAGCTGCACTGCTGAGGGGGACCGTGGCCACCTGGAGAGAGATGCCAGTTTCTGTGCTCACTGTCAGGGGAGGTTTTTGAGGATCCTCCAACGCACGGTGATACCTGAACACCAGTGCTGTAGGGAAGCTGAGAAAAACAGAGATTCCTGTGAATTCCTCAGGCTGATGTAGAAAAACCTGTCATCTGTGTGTCTTTGCCTTCTCTGCTGTTGATATGGATGCTCTATGGAATAGCTCTATGGTACAGCTCTGTGCATTTCCCCAAGCCCCACACATGTCCTGCAGCTGCAGTGATGGTGACACCGAGGCAAAGCAGGTGCCCTTTAGTCTCTGGATCCCAACTTCTGCATCATCATTCCCACAAGGTGTCTGGAAAGGATGTTGCATTATTTGGTTTCTGTGGTTTTGGGTCTCTCTTCAGGTTCCCAGGCTTCCATGGAAGCACCTAATTCTGGGAACAGGCAGTTCAGATGTAATGAGCAGCTTTTCAGCTCTCCCTGATGCCTGCCTGTGCTCTGCTTGATGCCACACTGATTTATGGAGTGCTCTGGCACTGCAGCTGTTTGATATCAATACATGCAGAACTAGTTTCCCAAACTCTGTCTGGTTTCTCTGCCCCACGCAAGAAGCCACCACAATGCACAAACAAGAAGAAGGAGCTTAGGCTGATCATAGCTTTGAGGTTATAGACACCATGTGCCTATAGCAGAGGCAGCAGGACACACATTGCAGAGGGACTGTTGAGGTTTCTGGCTGGCCACATGTTCATGGAATGTTCAAAGCTGACCTTGGGCTGCTGCAGGATCTCCACCCTGGGCCAAATCCTGCTTGCTTTTCTCTTCTGACTGGCATCAGTGCTTCTAGGAGGCTGCTGGAGCCAATAAGAGTGTGAGAAATGACTGTATATGAGGGAAGATCATGTTGTGCTGTTCTGCCCAAGAGAGGAGACAAAACTGGAGACAAACGTTCTGGGGTCACTTTCTGCCTTTGATCTTGTTCAAGCAGCTGCCTCCTCTCAGGAGCCTATTCCCTCCTATTCCCTCCTCTGTACATGGGAGTGTTTCCTTGTCTGCCAGGGGAGGCTGTGGTTTCCAAACATGAAAAGAATCAGTTCTAGGGAAAAATGTCCTGGAAGGCTTAGAATCAAAGAAAAAGAGTAAATAGAGATGTATGCACTTCTGAGGTTGAGAAATGTGAAATGCATTGGAAGGGGAAGGAGGTCTGTGGCTCCTTGAGGTTGTTTTTCCTTGTCTCCTGTTTCTGTAGCACCCCAAGGATGTCCTGACTCTTCAGTACAAGCCTCTGTCTTTAAAAAACACCTGCTGCCTGCCATTGTACCTTTTGCTGGACTTGAGGCAGCCGTTCCTAATCTGTGATGCAAACCAGCAGCGCCTCCCTGCAGGGGCCCAGGTGAGCAGCCAAGGACCCTCCTGCCAGGGGGCTTTGAAGAGGGAGGGCTGTGGTGGTGCCCTTCTGTTGGGAGGTCCCTGGGTCAAGAAGTTTATTCCATAGAGTCAGCAGTGGACTGGCCTGAACTGTGAACTGAGTCAGCAGAGCTGCTGAAGGAAGCAAAAACTCATCTGAATTGGAAAGATCCCTCCTGGCTCTAAGACATGAGGGGAAGGGAGCAGGCAGCCAAGTGTGGGCAAGCCGTGCAGCAGAGGTGTCTCCTGGAGAGCAGCCCAGCTCTCCAGCAGCCACCCTCTTGTATTGCTGCCGAGCACAGAAACAGGAGCCTGAGAATCCCCCACTGGAGTGTGGTGCTTGCAGTCAGAGCTTCCCTTGTAAAGAACTGAAGGGTGGACTGGGAAGGCCGTGCTGGGGTCACACTTGGAGCGTTTATGGTTTCGTGCTGTCAGACCTTGGGACTCCATCGTGTGGGTGACTGACACTCCTTGTCTCCTTGCAGCCTGTGGAGATGGAGGCAGGGCAGGAACTTCATCTCTACATCAGCTTTAACCCAGCCTATGAAAAGGATCCGATCAGCTGGGTAGTAGAGAAGACTCTGAAGATCCGGCTCATGGACCATCCTCATGAGGAAGAGATCACCGTTCGGGGAGAGGTCTACTTCCCGAATCTCCGGATCCCCACCAAAGCACTGGACTTTGGTTGCATCGTGAATGGCACAGAACAAGTGCGTTACCTGGAGATGACCAACTGCGGCCCAATCCCTGCCCACTACCACTGGTCATTCCAGGTGAACAGCAAGGAGTACCCAACAGGGTATGTGCACTTTTGCCCTCTCCTGGAACCTCTTTTTCCTGGGGTCCTGTTTGTACTTTGCAAAGACCAAAGCTGCTTGCCTGGGATCTGACAAACTGCTTTTGACTTTCCCTTGTGGAAATAACGCTGACCAGCCGTGGTCAGGCTGGATGCTCAGGGAATAGGTGTTTTCCATGAGTTTGGTGCTGCTGTAGTCCCCCTGCTGGTTTCCTCTGGGAAGGAAAGCTGGTGGGGAAATCTGCTTTCTCAGACCTCTGTGGCCTGAGGCAGTGACCACCTTGGTGAAGGGCTCCTAGTCCCACCTCCACAGTGCTGGTGGAGGCACTTTCACAGCCCTTTGGCCCCTCTGCTTTGGGATGGGTCCTCTCTGCAAGCAGAGAAACTGCTCTCTGCTCCTTGCTGTCTTCTCTGCATTCCCAGCCTTGGCCTGGAAGTGCTGGAGGATGCCCAGAAAGTCCCAAATTACCTCACAGAAAGAGCTAGTTAGCACCTGAGCTGATGGTGAACATCTTGTTACCTTCCCCTTCCTTCTCCTTTTCTGAGACACCCCCTTTCTGAGCTCACCACACCTGCACCCACCCAGGGGCTGCATCCTGACGAGGAATTGCTCGTGCAGGTGTCCCTCCCTCCCACTGCAGGTCCGTGATCACAGTGACGTTGTTTTCCAGGTTCATACCTTCCCCACCTACATTCAAACCACAAATAGTCACGTTCGGCTGTGTTGAGTGTGGGCGTTATCCAAGGAGGTACTTCAGGCCTGGAAGTGTGCAGGAGCCAGCCAAAGCCCCGGGAGCAGCACAGGACTCTGCCCAACAATCATCACATTCAGCAAACTGCCTGGAAACAGAACGGGATTCTTCTGGAGAGTCATCAGATTCAGAGGACTCCCTGGAAACAGAATGGGATTCTTGTGAAGAGTCATCAGATTCAGAGGACTCCCTGGAAACAGAGGATGATTCTCCTAAACAGTCACCAGATCCAGAGAACTCCCTGGAAACAAAGGAGGACTCTTCCCAAAAGTCGTCACATTCAGAGGCCTCCCTGGAAGCAAAGGTGGGTTTTCTTGTGCACCTGCCACTTGTGTTCCTCCCCCAGCTTGCCACCAAAAAGCCGTGCTCGTGCCGACCTCCCCTTTTGCTGCCCTGCTGTTGTGTGCCCTGAGAGTGGGCTGGGCAGCAGGGCCAGTGGCTGGACATGGGGCGTCTGGGGAGGGAGAAATAGGATACTTTTCTTTGGAGAAGCCCACTCAGATCCTACAGACCTATGCTGAGTTTGGGATTTTTGGCTCGTTTTCTTTACAATGTAAAATGAGGCTTTTCTGCATCATGATGAGAAGGTTTCCAGTTTCCTTCCTGTAGCAAGCCGTGCCAAATCCTGATCTCCATGTACCCCCTTCCCAGCCCAGCTAGACCACCCCTTTTCAGGTCTCTGCCTTCACCCACGAGCTGCACTGCAGTGACGGCCCCAGAGCTGCCTTTTACAGAGTGAGACTTGGCAAGGTGGCTGTGTCCTGGAATGGCAAGTGCCTTGTCTTCCAGGTGCCACCACACACTGCTGCAGGGCCTCGGAGCTCAGCGGAGACGAAGGGGTCTGGGCAGTCGGCAGAGGCAAAGCCCCCTGGCTTCAGAGCGGAGGAGGTGAGTGGGAATCTCTCTCACTTGCACGTTTTCAGTGTGGCAAGCAGGTCTGTTGCCCCCAGAGCTACAGAACTCCCTGTGCAGAACCCATGAAGGGCATTGCTCCCCTGGTACCTCATCAGGTGCTCAACAGGATATTTTTCAGGAGCTTTTGTTGTAGCAGCATGTAAGTCAGAGAGAGGGAAAAGCCTCAGGAGTCAGATGAGCTGGGCTGGAGTCCTCCCCTCAGCTCCAAGAGCTCTCACCTCTGAGTCTTCTGCTTCTCTGAAGGCAGTAAAAACTAGTTTTAAAGGCAAGTTCTGCAGCAGAGAGAATGTCTTGCTGCCAGGAGACATCCCAGTTTAATGTCTGGTATTAATTAATGCATTGAGCAGTGAGTATGGCAGAAGACTTTGGCCATGCTCCCTCCACTGGTCAGTGGCATGGAGGCAGGATGAGATTAGGATGCTTCTGGCTGGTGTTTGAGGAACAGGCCCCTCCAGCTATGGTTGTACTTTGCTCCAAGCCACGGCTGCTCTTCTGCACCCATTTCCACGCTCAGCGACTCAATCCCTCCTCCCCTCCTGCAGGTTTTCGATGTCCAGCCGGTGTCCGGTGTGCTGCAGCCGGGCAGGAGCCAGCAGGTGCCCGTCACCTTCTTTGGCCACGCCAACATCATCGCCCATGTCACGGCGCTGTGTCGGGTGGAGGGAGGCCCAACCTATGAGGTAAAGCTAAGGGGGGAGACTTCGGTCCTCACCTACCACCTGAGCACTGAGGAGATCGACTGCGGGCTGCAGGTAACACCCCCTTCTCCTGGCAGAGCTGCTGCCTTGGGACCATCACCAGCAGGTTGCTGCCCAGCCCGGCCCAGGGCTCTCTCCCCTTCCCAGCTCCTTTGTTGGCTCTGGGGCTTGGAAGTACAACCTTGGAGGGATATGTCTGGCATCCAAACTGCTTTGTAATGTCCATCTCCACCCCCCTCCAGAATGTTGGGAATTCCTTCTCTTCAGGGTACCAAATGCTGCTTCCTGGAGCAAGCAGGACCCCAGTGGGGATTTCCAGAGGGACACGTCCCTGAGACATCCCTCTGCTGACCCACTCCTAAAGCCTGAGCTCCAACGAGATGCTCTTGTTTAATGCTCTTGTTTAATCCACAAAATAACCCAGTTGGGCTTCCAGTCACGGCAGTTGGAGAGAATGTCTCAATATAATCCTCACTTTCCTACTTCTCAGTTAAAAGTCCACAGGTCTTTCCAGCTGCTGTCCCCGTCTTGGTGCCCCATCTGTCTCCCTTTTTGCTGGTGTGTTGCTTGCCAATACTTGCATGCAGGTGCCTTTTCTTCTGGAGTGCCTCGATGCCACCTCCTTTGTTTCTCCTGGCTGTTGGTGACCCCTCAGAGTGCAGAGGGCCTGTGTCCCCCGGTTCATTTCTTAGTGGCTCTCCCATGGTTGTTCCTGCCCCTCTGTGTGCTGCCAGAACTCTGTTCCTGTGCAGGTCCCTGTGCCTGGGGGTTCCCCACGTTCCCAAGTGCCTGTAGTTCATCCCCGGTCCCTGCTCCTGCGGTGTGTCTGCTTTCAACCCCATGAAAGAGGAAGGAGATTCCCAGCAGCAGGCCTGTGTCTGTAACTTCCCACTCCTCTGTTCTCTCTTCAGCTCTTTAATGAAGTCACCAAAGCAGAGGTCACCCTGCGGAACAACGGGAAGATGGGATTCACCTACGTGGTACAGAGCCCCAGCACTGGCACTGCAGACAAGCCTCTGCCTGGTGTGCTCGTGGTCCTGCCCAACACAGTGAGTGGCAATTGACTGACCCCAGCCCTGTGTCAGGGGGCCAAGGAGAGGGTTAAAGAGAAAAAAGGGGGGAAAACAAAGCCAAACCCAGCCACGAGAGACAGGGCTGTAAGCGATTGCTGCTGGGGGCAGAGAAGGTCAAGCAAGTGCCATCCTGACAGACTCCCTGTGGCCTTGGCTGGCGAGTGGCTCTGCCATCCCAGGGCAGCCACCGGCGGGAGGCACGAGCACGTTGGTCACTCCTTGGCCCCCGACTGCTGAGCTCTGGGGCTGTGCTGGCACTGAGGCTCTTCTGAGGGTCACCTTACCCCAGCTGTGGGATCAGACAGGACTAAGCAGCACTTACATATTCCTTGCTTGGGCTTGAAGCTCCTCTGCCAGAAATTGTCACAGCCCCTGTGCTGGTCCTTCCCTCCCCCCAGCTGTGCTGCTCTGGAGCAGCTTTGTGGGGCAGTGAGGGGGCCAGGGAGGAGTGGGGCTGGAAGAGCAGAGAGAGGAATTTGGAGCATCCCACCACTGTCTCAGCTTCTCAGTGCTGCCTGGATGTCTTTGAGGTGAAGCAGTGTTCCCTTCTTTGTCCCTCTTTGCCATGGGAAGAGGAAGCCCATTGGCTTTCCCATTTCTTCCTGCCTGTCTCTTACAAGGGGTGACAGGAGCTGCTGGCCCTTCTGAGAGCGTGGGCACTTCACTCCTCTTCCCCAGTGGTGGCAAAAGAGCTTTTACCTGTTCAGCCTGGCTCTGGCTGGCAGAGGGCAAACCCCATTAGCAGCAGAGCCGTGCTCACGCTGAGCACAGGGCAGGCTCTGCTGGGGGAGCAGCCTTAGGAGCCCTGGGAAGGACACACTGTACCCTCGCCTTGGAGGCTCAAGCTTTTGGGTATGAGGAAGGTAGAAGGTGATGTGGTCTGACGTTTTCTTCCAGAGAGAACCTGTCTTCTCTTCTCAGCCTGTCTGTGACCTGAGCCTTCCTCCATCACACCCTCTTTGATGCATTGCCTCCCTCTTCTCCTGTCCCTTGCAGGCTTCCATTGAACCTGGCAAGGAGCAAGTGCTGAAGCTCTATTACCTGCCAGGAGTGCCAGGAGTCTTCTGCAGGACTTTCCAGGTTCAAGTGGGTCACCTGAAACCAGCAGAAATCTCCCTGAAAGGAGAGGCGGTCTTTGCCGGGATCTGTCTGGACCTGCCCTGGAGCATCAGAGGTGAGCACTGCCCATCTGCTCCCCAGCAAAGTCCCCACTGGGGTTTTTCCCTACTGTAATGCCCAGAGGGCAGCTCACACCCATCTCCACCAAGCCTGGAGGTTGCAGGGCTGCCAGACCAACACTCACCCCTCTGGTTGCTTCCTGAGTCTTGAGCAGACAAGCACATGTAGGCTTTGTCCAAGTAACCATCCTGCAGCTCTTGCCAGCACATCCGTCAGAGGCCTGGAAAGATGGCTGGACAGAAAAGCTTGGGAAAGCTGGAAGAGAGGCTGGCAGGGCTTTTGGCAGGGGTGGATTTGCATGACACTGCAGGGGATGAGATGCTCCTCTGAGGGGAGGAAGATGGGTGGGAGTGATCATGAGGATTCAGAGACGAGCAGCAGCGTCCAGAGATGGCTTTCCATTGATGGGTTGTTTCTGGGAGAGACCAGCATTTGGGGGAGTGGGACTTCTCAGCTTCAATGGCATTGGCAGTGCACCCACACTTCTATTTGTGAATGTTTTCTTCCTCCAGGAAATGAAAAATACGAGAGACTATTGAAACAAGCAAAAGAAAAGCTGAAAAAAGACAAGCAGAACAAGAAAGCAAGTGTTTGGAGGAAGGCTCAAATCAGGAAGCGACACGCAAAGGGCCCTGGCATTGTGGTAGGAACAGCTGCAGTCCCATTTGGCACATGCCACCCTCCCCATGTCACTTGAGCCCCTGACACCCCACAACACCCCACAAGAGCTTCTCAGTGCCCTGCTGGCACTTGGGACCTCCCTGCCCACACCTGGCCACAAACATGCCTCAGCTCAGCGTTGCCCCACCTCTGGTCGTGGTCTCTCCTGGAGATGTACCAAGCTTCCCGGCTACTCCCCTTGCTGGGGAGTTTGTTGCTCCCAAATCAAGCCCTAGCAGGTTTACAGACCTTAGTAGCAGCAGCCTGACTGTGCCCTGGGACTGTGCTGGCAGTGCTCAACTCCAAGAGGCACCAGCTTGACTGGGGTTCCCTTTTCTAGGCAGCTTTTGTCCAAACTGCTTTGGCACTGGTTGGGGACAGGCAAATATCTGAAGCTCTGGAAGGTTGCTGGCTTGTCTGTCTGGCCAGATCAGCTTTTCTAGCAGTGGGTGGGAAGGCAGAGATGCTGCAGTTATTTCCCTGGAGAGAAGGTCCTGGCTGGGAGAGCAGAACGTGTCACGGACACTGAGCAGCCAGACAGGAGGACCCCATTCCCCCTCTCAACAAGA